CTTTCTATGTGAAGAAGAATTATGGACATTTCGAAAAGTTTAAATGGTCCTGGCTTTGATTTTCTCTCAGTTTTAGAGTGAAACATGATTTGGTAAATATATAAACTTCATATAAAAATGTAAAATTGCATTTTTGTCATTTTCCATAATAATAAACTTCAACTTCTAACTTAACTTTTTTGTACTTTTTTCACCTCAACAATAATCTGCCATGTGTCTTCTTTAAAAAGAGACCAAACAAAGCATTCAAGATATCCACAGTTTAATGCTATGCTATCATAGTCTATGCTCAAAAAGTGATTAACAGGTAATAGATGGATTACTGCATAAGTATAATTTAGTACCATAGAATCCCCCCAAAATACAAAATATTAAATAAAAAAACATGATCGAATTAGTAAGAAATAGTACATTCATTGGAAATGTCATTTTTGATCGCTACGTGAGGAGCACTACAGATTATAATAAAAGCCGGATAAAGAGTCAGTTGTGAGTTAACATTAACATGAGTCGGCATGAATTCTGGTCCATTTTAGACGTTTATTGTAGTCAAAAATTCACTCACAAGAGGTGATTATCATGTAAAACTACTAACCAAGTCAAGTTGTTTATTGTCATGTCTTTGCAGTGCAGATTATAAAGTATAGCATGTGTGAAGTCTATGTTTTGGGAACAGTGGGATCGTGGGGTGGATGGGAAGTCACTTTCACATAATGAGGAGATCACCTGTCAAAGGTAAAGGTTCTTTATTGTCACCTATCTTTCAATGAAGATCCATTAACATCCATGTCTATTCCACAAAAGGTTCTTCATAGTGGAAAAAAAATGTTCTTTAGGTTTTTAAAACTTCACACTAACAACAACAACTAAAAAGGTTATTTTAAGAACTGGTCACTGAGAGGTTCTTCTATGGCATCGCTGTGAAATCCTCGTTTTGGAGCCATATGGCAGTGGTGTCTATAGACTGTGGTATGAATGGCCTTTGGTGATGCTGGGGTTTCTCATGTTGACCCTCTGGTGGTAGATGTCTTGGGCTGTAATGGTGATAGTCTGCAGTTTTTAGTGCTTTATGATCCTGGGCAGAGCTGTTGCCGTAACATACTGTGATACAGACAAGGATATACTCTCAGTATGTTCAACTAATGAGACTATCCTTCCCTTCAGAAGTAATAAGTATTGATTAGTTGAGAGGAAACAATATACTGTTGACTTTGAAGATAGACAAACAAAACTCTTGAATATCTTTATCAAATCCAGCAACTCGTTCTTCCTCCGAAGTGCTCATTGTAGCAGATAGCAAATATGATTTTGTCCCAGTAGGCTGATTAAAACCTGTGCAGTCTGACTCTTGAATAATATGGAAAGCAGAGGATGCAGTTTTGTGAAAGCCTTTTCCATTTTGTGTGCAGCATACATAGTTCACCCAAAAATCATCATCGAATCTGTCATTGTGGACCTTGACAGTCAGAGTGGTTGACATCTCCACTGACAATACCTTTTTTGTTCCATGACTAGCCGCAAAAGATGTCCAAGATCTGTGGCTTTCATATTTGAAAAGCAAAACTGGCTTATAATCATATTCATGATCCAATTTCACCATCTGTGTTCCTGTTACAGTAATGCAGTTATTGATGGTTATGTGTAGCTCAAGGCCACATGAAGATACCGTAATATAGCAGAACTGAATCTTTGGTGAACAGGAATCCCATTTGGGCATATTTTTCCCTCTTCTCTAGTGCAAGTTAAGCCTGTGGGTTTGGGATATTGAAGCACTTCACTATCCGATCCGATTTCAAAACAATTCTTGAGGTTTTTTTTCCCTATTAACTAATTTGTTTATCGATTTTGAATCTTACATTTAATTGTACAATTTCTTTTATTTAAATTCTCATGTAATTATAAGTACATTTTAAAATAAAATAAAAAATTTAATTAATAAATTAATTAGAATTTTCAACTGACTAAATATACCTTTAAAACATACAAGCAAATAGTAAATAATAAAGAGGAACAAAGAAACATATTACAAGCAATAAACAAAGAGCGCTTTCAGTATCTGAACGTTTTCCAGTCAAGAGCAGTGAGTGATTTTTCTCTTTCTCAGCTTTATTGCTGTTTTTTATTACCACTGATGACATCATAGACAGCGGGAGATCTATAGGCCGCATTCACATTAATGCGCATATCTAATTTGACAGATCAGATGTTTGTCCTGTCTGTTTAATCCCGTAAGACATAATTGACTGTGTTTGCAATCATCTCTTGTCATAAAAGCATTGTGAGATGTAAGTGCGTTTAACCTCTTACACGGAGACGCACACGTGAGCATTTGAAAGCTGCTGTTGGTCAGCAGGTTCCCTGTAGCATTTGGAAGGTAAAACACTGAAAGTGAAAAGGCCGCACTTTGTAAATGTAACATCAAGCAAAGTGCACGATTCTCACCGCGCATATCCTGTGCAATGCAGCCTGTGATTGCCCTTGTAATTTGCTTCAACCTTTTTGAACTGTTCGGACGATTATTTTATGGAGTGTGTGTGTGTGTGGAATTGAAAGCAAGCAGAATACGACTGTTTCGAGAGCATCTGCGGTTAAAAACTAAACTAAGAATCGATTCAGAATCATCGAAGAGAGAATCGTGATGCACCTGATGCCAAGTCTGACAGAGGTTAGGTGTTTGAGGACACTGACAATTTCCAAAAGCCCTTATGCTTTCCTGTACTTCCCCATGGATTCCTGACATCCAGTCAGTTGTCTGATACTGATAGAACACATTATCCTAGAAGAGTCTAACAACATTTCACTCATCTGTTTCACAGCGGTCAGAGATTTCAGATTTCTGTTTCATATGTGGTGGCTAATTGTGAAGTAGCAAATTGAAAATGAGTCCTGCCCGATGTCAGAAGCAATTAGTTGGCATACAAGAACTCCCTATAATGCACCGGTATGACAGCATAGAGCAGTAAAGATCTGTTGAACAGCTGAGGCTTCTGGACCAGCATGCAAGTCTAGACTCAATCCTAGCAGAAACTCCTTGCAGAAGGCAGACGCAAAATGTGTGGGGAAGCTATTTCTAGCTATCATTCTAGTGAATGAGAAACAGCTGCAGTGTTTGAGTAAACCGCCATAGAGCTATTGTCGCTAAAGAGCTAGAACTAGTGAATGAATTTTACAGGTTTCATAGAAAGAGAATGATGTGAGTCAAATCAGTGGCTATATGAGTACTATAATGGTTGCGGTACAAAATAGCTCAATAGGAGAGGCAATGCAAACACAAAGACATGAGAAAAAACATAATAATTGTGGAAAGCAGGGTGGGGCCGAGAGCTGTGGGAACAGAGCGAGGCCGGTGGCGCGAGTGTTAATGATCGTCACCTGTGCGTCACACCGGTCTCGAGTACCACGGAGGAACTCCGGAAGGATAAAAGGACGAGTGACGACAGTGAAGAGAGGGGACCAGGCCTGGGACATTTATGTTTTTGTTTTTGTTTTAGTTTATGCGGCAGTCGTCCATGAGGGGTTGCCACTTTACTTTCGTTTTGTTTTTTATGTTTATTCTATTTTTAAAGTTATGTTTAACATTCACCTGTTCCCGCCTCCTCCTTTCCTTGTCTACAAGCCTTTGTTACAATCATTTTTTTTTTATTTAATAGATCTAAGTTTAGGCCTACAGTATATGCTTCAGTTTGTTTTCTTATTAAGTTTGAAAACCCACATTTGAAAACTCAAGGCCAAAATCAAGCTGCATTTCCACCGTCAGGCCAATAGCCCCGCAACGCAACTCTTAAACCTGCCCAAAGTCCAAAGTATACTTTAGGTGTTTTTTTATGCATACACTAGCGCAGTGGTTCCCAAACCTGTCCTCACGGCACCCCAACACTGCACGTTTTCTTTATCTCCCTAATCAAACACACCTGATTCAACTCATCAGCTCATTATCACATGGGTTAATGAGCTGATGAGTTGAATCAGGTGTGTTTGATTAGGGAGATAAAGAAAACGTGCAGTGTTGGGGTGCCGTGAAGACAGGTTTGGGAACCACTGCACTAGCGTATGTGTACAGTTGAACTCATAACCTTTCAAACCGCACTCCATTTGATAGCATGCGTGAATGCTGCCGGTTGACACTTGCGCTCTTGAAAGTTTAATCTTTGACCAGTGTCTGCGCTATTTTTCTCCAGAAGTTATGACCAATAAAAATGTATTTTACTCTTTTAAACTAAAGTTTCACAACCCCATCACACAAATGCTTGTCAATGTGGGCTTCTATTGATGTTGCAGTCTCTTTATTTCCGCTTTCGATTGTTCGATTATTCCCGGGCCAGTGTTGCCACCTTGTGGAACAGCCGATTGAGCAAAACAAATTCAATGTGCATGTGCGACCTGCGCACACAAAGTAATTAATATTGGTAACAAAATAAAAAATCATATGGCGTGCGTACGGTACACGCGTTCTATTCTGGTGACGGAATTTGCAACATGCACTGTAAGAGGCTTTAAAGGGGTAGTTACACTAAAATAAAAAATGAAGTCATAAATTACTCATTATTTTTGTCACTGCATTGTTCCTCATGACAAATGGTAGCAAACTGAAACTTGAAATTGTCATTACTATTCTTAAGCTTCAAATAAAATCTCTTTACATAATTATACAAATTAATAAACAATACTAGTATAATTTGAAAAGAAAAAATGCATTTTACAGGTTGTGGATTCTTGGAAAGCACAATTCATAACTTCATAATTTGTAGCTCCTTTTGTTGATCCTTTTTCTTTATGTTTCTTTTTTTTCTTTTTTCTTTTTTACAATTATATCAATGTCCATGACCCAATCAAATTCTGATGGTTCAAATCATACTTCATTACCACTGTTTCACTTATACATCACATTACAATAGTCAAATGCATTACAGTCGTCTTTAAAACATTACTATAAAGGGTTATTGTAGTATTCATTAATATTTTAACTAGTATTAATGTTGTGCTTATTTTTCTTTGTCTAGGATCACATAATCTGAAGAGTAATCGAATGCTGTATGGTGTCGCAGATGCTGCCTTACACACATCCTCCACAGCTGCTGCAGAGAGCACGAAGAGAGGCAATTCGTACTGTCACAGTGTTAAATTGGCCTTAAAGAAGCACTACTTACCACGGCCACTGTCAACACGGACTCCTTTAGAGAACCACCCAACTGATGAGTCCTCAAACTACACAATATCCTTCACACCCTGTGCTGCCAAGGGCTTGAGCCCCCTGGGCCTTTCCAAGAAGACCGCAATCAGATCCATTTCACCATGATAGAACCTGCGAGCATCCCTGGGCTCACACAGGACTGTTTGCCTCAGCAGAGTCCCACCTGTCCAGGCTGCTTTATTGAGACTAAGGATTTGTCCAATGTAGAGGCCCTCAAAATGGCTGACATGACCCGGGACTACACCACCTGCCCTATCTCTGATATTAACATTCAATGTATGAGCACAAGTGAAACAGTAAGTTATGGAGAAGCGCTGCTCTCGGATCAGCTTTTGAGCTTTCCTGTCCCCAAAACCCAGCTGGTAGAGAAGAAGGACACAGAGAAAATAGACTTAGATGATTCAGCCTCCAAAAACCTGTATGAGGGTCTGCTATTAGACAAGTGCAATGGTGACGATGGCTTGCTTACCAATCCAAATCAGGACTGGGGCTATTTTGAGTCCTTCATTAGCGAGAGTAAGATGGAATTGCTGGATCTCTGCTCCAAGAACGAGTTATCCGTAAATCTCTTCTCTGAAGAGGACGTGGGCAATTATATGTTTGATGATGATGATGATTCCACTCTGAGCAGTGATGTGTGCTCGCTAAAGATCCGCTACGAGTCCTTCCAGGACAACATGAGGGAGAAAACCAATGTTCTGCAAGAAGAAACTCAGTTCAACTTTTTCCCAAGTGTCTTGGTAAACTGCACAAAGAAAGAGAGTTGTGGGGTAAAGCGAGTTGTGGATGATCTACCACCAAAATCAGAGGAGCTTGGATTCCAAAATGACAGCAAAGGGGATGAAAATGACTGCTCCATAGAGCAGACACCCGATTATAACCCCAAAATGAACTACTTCATTGATTCAAGCACCTCAGCTGAAGACTCAGGGGAGTATAGTGATGACAGCTCCTCCACCGTTTCCTCTCTTGACACCTTCCAAGACAACAGGCCTAAAAACTTGTTCTCACGAAAGAACGCAAGCTGCTCAAACCATCTGAACTATGGATTACGGGCCAAGAGAAAAGTTAGGTATAGTGATGACTACTTGTATTATGTTGAGTCTACTGATGGGGAAAGAAACATTGAAAAGCGAGAGAAACTACAGATTGGTCCAAAACAAGAAGAGGATCTTGACTGGTGCCCTAAAAAGAGACGAAAATACTCGCGGAAGGATCCACCTGTAATAATCAAATACATTATTGTAAACCGGTTCAAAGGAGACAAATGCATGGCTGTAAAGCTGGGCAGAATCAAATCAGCCGACACGACAGTAAGCTTAAATGAGGATAAAATCAACAAATATGAGAAGCTTGCACCTCTGAAGGATTTCTGGCAGGAGAAACAGAGAGAGAGAGAGGAACAGCTTAAGCTGGCAGCAGGAGGTAAACACAATTCTCACCATCATGCCTTTAGTTCGAGTCCCTCCAAAAGAAAATACAAGCTAGCAAACAGGCTTAGAATTCAGAGAATTCATACTGTGGAGCAATCACCCAACACACAGGGCCCCTTTGCCTCTGATCCCAGGCAGGAGGTTTCTTCTACAGATGAAACTGCCTCCACGGGAATGCCATTAACAATAGCCACCAGCTGTGCAAGCACATTAGACCCCAATGACATCATGCACACTGCCACCCGGAAGAGCAGATCACAAGAGAGGGAGGAAGGCAGAATAGGAAATAAAATATTCAGAATACAGAAATTCAGAAGCGAAGCCAGACTTAGAAGCAAGAAAATGAGAGACCTTGTGGAGAATAGCGAGAGCGTGACAGACCTGACAGAAGTTTGCTCGCTGCAGAAAAATATGGACGCAGTAGGAGGTGCTGAAGATAAAAAAGTCAGCCCAGCTGCACACAGTCCCCATTTGTGTGAGAGTCAAACAGCTAATGCCTCTGAAAAATTTGCTTTTGTGACTACCACCTGCTCCCCTAACAAAGAGGCATCGTCTGAGAATATGGCTACAAGTGTTTCCGTTATCCCAGGAGGCTACCTGCAAACATTGTTAGATGCCTCTGATTCTTCAGGTAGCACTGGCATCCAGTTTTTCCCTCAGCAGACCCACCACTCACTGGATCTCTCTTTGGAAAAGCAGCAATTCACCTCAATTCAGCTAGCACAAAGTTGTGTCCTTTCTCCACCATCAGAATCAGAGCTCCAACAGTCACCCCAGAATTGTCCAACTCTTACCCAGATGTGGCACCCGCAGCTTGGTCCCAACCAGCAGTTTGGTGCTGCAGATATTGTTGAATCTGCGATCCAACCCAACAGCTTCACTGGAGAGATGGCTATGCCAATGTCTGAGAGTCTGACTGTGTCGGGCTATAGCCAGCTGAGTCTGGAGAGCAACAGAATGCTTTATGAAAAGAATTACATGCCTGAGCAGCCATTGCCTCCTGATGCTGAGTTTCAGATATGTCAGGGGCAGCCACAGTTTCAAAGAGCCACACTGCACACCGACAACGGCCGACTCATCAGTTTCGACTCAGTTGGCTCATTGTCAGCTACTTCTAGCAATTACAGCTCTCTGAGTCTGAAGTCCTGCGAGAAAGATGGTGAGGATGATGTGAATGAGAACTTTATGGCCCACTGCAGTCCCAAACTGGTGATTCAGCAGAGTATCGAAGCAATCACACCCCTGAGGGAGTCCACAGACTTGCTGGATATCTCCAACTTCACTCCCGATAAATTCAGACACACATCATTGTCAGAACTCTCTCCTCCAGAGACTCCTAATTTATCCCCTCAAGTTACGGGCCGTGAGATGAGGATAGCTGGGAAGGCCACTGACCTCCAGGATGGGGCTAAGATGTCATGCACCAAAGACGTGGACTGGAACTGCAAAATGATCGAGCAGCGAGATCTGTCTAGATATTCAGTAGATGGTCATGAGTATGAATTGCACATTTTTAATGGTGAAGACAACTTAAGCCTGGGGACGAAGGAGGAAAATCTTGCTGACTTTGACGGTGATATGATGAGTGCAATTAAGGGGACCAAGGCAAAAAAGAAAAATACAAACAAACAAACTGCAGGGCAGGGAACCAAAAAAAGCAAAGCCCCAAGAGCTCCTAAGGCAGAAAAGGGCAAAATTCCACGTCAGACATCAAGAGCATCTAAAAAGTTAAAGGCTTTACTGGATGAGAAGGGTGGTAAAGGCCGGACTGAGGGCGCTGCTCATCCACTACTGGACAGTGGCTCTGAGGAATGGACAGGAATAGTTTGTTCAGAGAGCAAAAGTCAAGCCCACGATGACCAGCGAGAGTTTGAAGAGCCATCCAACATCTTGTCAAATATTGTCTCAGGGATGGCCGAAGTACAGAGATTCATGATGGCCTCTGTTGAGCCAATATGGGGCCCTGCAGCAAATGTCTGCTTGCCCTCAGAGGCTAACAGCCTCAAGTTAAAAACTCTCAAAATCCTTGCAGGAACTTCATCCGACCCGAAGAAGAAAGGCACTTGTGGGGCTAATGGGGGCACAAAAGGCAGAAAAGGTGGGACAAAAGGTGGCAAAAACCAGGCAAAGTTAAATGCCTCCCTGCCTTTTTTCCCTCAGTTGGCTTTGGGCTGTAACGTGTTTGACAAGCCTAGCCTTGGCGTTCCTGGTGTAAATGGGCCTGCGCACAAAAAGATGTACCGTCACAAAACCAGTGCAAAATTCCCTCGGATTGAAAATCTGAAGGGCACGCGACCAGAACGAGACTCAGATAAGGACATATCATTAATGGCATCTTTTGAGAAACTGAGGTAATATTTTATATCTAGCTGCTGATGCACGTTCCTCACTTTCCCACTTCCTCCTCATTTCTTGACTCAAGACCAGAGATGCATGGATTTACGTTATTCTTAAGTACCCCCTTCTTCTTTTTGCCCCCGAAGAGGATATTGATATCTTGCATGAGAAACTTCTTGTACTCGCAAACTACCTATTGATTGATTGTGCAAGGCTTGATTGAGATTTTAAATGACCATGGCTGCATTTTTCTTCTGCATTCTTGTTTTTGCTGTTTTTTTCCCCCTCGCAGTTGCTGATTAGTTTTTGTCTGAAGAAAAGGAAAAACTTTGATAAGTGCAAATTCTCTTTTTGGACCTTTTTTTGTTCAGTTCTCAGTGAATCTTGCTGCCCTCATGTAATTATATTTCTCTCTTCAAACATGTAGCTATTAAAATGTCTTTGTGTGAAACAAGCTCCCAATTTGATTATGTATGCTGAAACAGATGCCCTCTCGACTCTTTACTGCCTGACTTTTTTAAGTGTGAATTGCTCAGCCCCTTGTCTAAGATAACAACATCCTTGATATATCCCTAAACATTGTCAGCACACAATGGGACCATTTTGTATTAAAGACATATCAGATTAATGTTGTTCTAATTACTTTCTTACTGTTGGAATGTACTTATGATTTTCTCTTATCTACTATGCTTTTTACAGGAGTTGTACTGGAAAAGGTTTAAATGGACATTTCTATGCCATGGAAATCCTCAAATGCTTCATTTTTGAATTTTTTTTTACAGTATCTTTACTGTATCACTCTACAGAAATGCACTCTATAAAATGAAACATGAATTCTATTCGTGTCCCAAATATAAATGATCTGTGCCCATTTATATTCTGAATGAATACTGGCTGTTCCAATTGCTATCCTAATGAATGCTGGCTGTTCTCTCAAGACTTAACAAGATCTGACATTTCTTTTTGGTTAGTTGTTTTGTCTGTTTTCTTTGGGCACCCTATCGTTTGAAGAGCACCTGCAGCTGACAGTGGTACAACCACTCAACCAAAACAACTAAACTCTGAACTTTTTTTACTTTTCCCACCTTGCTTGCCAAATTCAATGTACCTCGGCATTACTTCTGCTTAGAAACAAAAAGAGAAGAAAAGATTGACTTCTAAACACTGAAGGAAGAAAAATGAGAAAGGTGGACGCAGATAATGTTAATAGAGGATGGTATCAGTTGGTAAGCAATCATTTCACAATCTACTGTAACAGGGACTGGGAACATAATGTTCCATTATTTGGCGTATTTGTTGAATAGAATACTTTGATAATTAAGAAAGTGTAAAGGATGCCTCTTTTCCTTCAACCCACTTTTAAACATTTGCCTTCCGGTTTGCCATAAATGTTTAAGTATCCTGTGCTAACAATTTCATCTGACAACAAGAAGTTGTGAAATTTAAGAAAATATTTTGTTGGACATGCTGGGGTTTTTTTTGTGTGTGTTTTGTTCAGCTTAGTTAAGTTTATTAGTGGAACATAATTAACACATTTGCTTTGCTATTGTTGCAGAATTTCAACCTTTGAAACCAAATTGGTCCTTTCAAAAGCACATTGGCATTTACCACATATAGATTTGTAGATGACACCTTTGATTTAAAAGAGTTGCTCTAGGAGGAGATCTCAGGTAAAGTAATGCCTTACATATAGCTTTTACCTTAGAAAGATTTCACTCCGCCCCGGCCAAGTTTAGCACCAGGATGATGCTGATGGGAAACTGCACATGGGCCGCTCGCCCGACTTGCCTGCCTTCTCTCATTTCTGCCTGTTGTCAACTGAATGTACTTCTAGTTTTTTACAATGTGCCACTGTTAAGCTGCCTCCTCCTACTGGTGCTAAGAAGGTAATTGTATTCTCCCAGAAATGATGAAACAAGGAATATTTGAATTGAAAACCCTACTCCTCTCTTTATGAATGTACAATATATGGTTCTGTTTGATGTATTCACGACACAATTATTTGTCATTAATTGGAATTGCTTTTGCCTTTTTGTTGGAGAAATTATCAAGCTTTATAAATATTGTCTAGAGTTGATACTAGAGGGACTCTCGACATCACAAAAAAATTGTATATTTTTCTCTGTGCCAATTTGTAAGATATTTTGTAAGTGTATATTTTTCTTAGAAAGTGCTGTGAAGTATTAGTATGTGTGTGTGCGTGCGTGTGTGTATGTGTGTGTGTGTGTGTGTGTGTGTGTGTGTGTGAGTAACCTTTTTTGTGCCTCTGTAGGCAGTGAAAAGGATGTATAATGACAAGCTTTTGGTTTTAAAAACCAAAATATTAAGAAACAAAAAATGAAAAGGATAAAGCTCTACCTTTTGTTGCAAGTTTTGTAAGAGGAAAATGATCTTGTTGTGAGAGTGTTGTGTTATTGTGAAAAACACATATAGGCAAAAAAGTTCAGACAAAAATTGTGAACTATTCGCTGTTTTATAGATTTTCTTGTAAATTATTCTTGTATTATTTTATGTTGTATCTGTTGCAAAGGTTTTAAATATTTGTGATCAAGCCTGTATGGTGAAATGTAATATTGGTAACTTGCTGAGTTTTGTAATAATGTTTATGGAGTACATATACAAATTAAAAGAAGATTTTGAATGCTGCCTTTTGAATGTTGTCACATTTCTCCCATGACTGTTTACACGGTTAATGCCTAAAATAAATGTGAACAAAGATGACAATATAGGTGATGTCATGATGTTAAGTTTAAGTTAAGTTTAAGTGTTGATATATATATATATACATGTTATCACGCTTATCATTCAATGTTGCATTCAATGGTACTATACAGTATGTCAACGTTTGTTAAAGTATATGTTGGCATATAAAGTCCTAATTTCTAATCATTTCTTATAGGGGACATTGTTATAGGCCTCTGCAGTGGAATAATGTGACGTATCTCCAAAACGCTGCAGTGATATGGTTTCATATGAGGTGTGCATACAGTGTGGGACATCCCTATAAGAACTAGCCATTGTTTTTCTACTTAGTAGAAATGAAGTCTTTATAGGCATCTGAATGTGACATATCCCCAAAATTGTGCAGTGAAATGCTTTCATATGAGGTAGGCTATGCACATAGTATGGGACATTGCGTGGAATAATAACTGAGTCAGTAATGCATATACAAATAGGCTATTTAGTTGGAGTAACAAATGCCTTTAAGACTAACTGTTATTCCAGGAAAGTAAAACAAATGAAATCGGTATTTAGAAAGAGTAAACTCTTTATGTTGTCTGCTTTTTGCGAATAATTATGCTGTGGTAATTATATAATTATGTGCCCTGCCCGCTCTCCGGGACCTGTACCTGAAAAGGTCAGGTAAACTCATCACAGACTCCACTCTCGCCGGACACAACCATGAGCTGTAGACATCAGGACGGCACTATCGGCACAGGAACAGTTTCTTCCCACAGGCTATTTCACTCTTGAACAGTTAAATGCCTTCCAAGTGCAATGCCCCTCTTTTTTGTGCAATATCCTTGTAAATTCATTTAATATTCATATCCCTTTCAGCTGCAGAAAAGTTAATTAACATGTTTGTTTTCTCTCGTATAATGCGCTTCTATAATGGGGTTTCTAAGCATAGGCCTACTTTAAATAAGTTACAGTAGAATTTTAACGACCAAAACTAGAGATCATATTAATCCCGTTTTGAAGTCACTACATTGGCTACCAGTTAAAGGAATAGGAATTTATTTATTTTCTACTATGGAAGTGAATGGGGTCCATCAAATGTCTAGTTACCGACATTTTTTACCGACATCTTCTTTTGTGTTCAGCAGAAGAAAGAAACTCATATAGGTTTGAAACAACTTGAGGATGAGCAAATGATGACAGAATTTTCATTTTTTAGCGAACTATTCCTTTAAGTATGATTTTAAAGTTCTCGTGCAAAGCAAGGTCTGGCCTCAGGGTAGTCCTATTGATCTCGACTTTTGACACCTTATTTTCCGAACCGAAGTCTTCTCTCAGCAAGGTTTGTTGGTTGTCCAACAATGATACGGTTAATGGTGGACAGAGCTTTTTCTATAGCTCTGTTGTGGAACCAACTTCTAGTTGAAATTTGGGAAGCACATCTCTTGGAATTTTTAAAACACAGTTTATAAAAAAATTAAAATTATATATAGGCCTATATATATATAAACTCACCTAAAGGATTATTAGTAACACCATACTAATACTGTGTTTGACCCCCTTTCGCCTTCAGAACTGCATTAATTCTACGTGGCAATGGCATTGATTCAACAAGGTGCTGAAAGCATTCTTTAGAAATGTTGGCCCATATTGATAGGATATAGCATCTTGCAGTTGATGGAGATTTGTGGGATGCACATCCAGGGCCAAAGATGCTCTATTGAGTTGAGATCTGGTGACTGTGGGGGCCATTTTAGTACAGTGAACTCATTGTCATGTTCAAGAAACCAATTTGAAATGATTCGAGCTTTGTGACATGGTGCATTATCCTGCTGGAAGTAGCCATCAGAGGATGGGTACATGGTGGCCATAAAGGGATGGACATGGTCAGAAACAATGCTCAGGTAGACCGTGGCATTTAAACGATGCCCAATTGACACTAAGGGGCCTAAAGTGTGCCAAGAAAACATCACCCACACCAATACACCACCACCACCAGCCTGCACAGTGGTAACAAGGCATGATGGGATCCATGTTCTCATTCTGTTTATGCCAAATTCTGACTCTACCATCTGAATGTCTCAACAGAAATCGAGACTCATCAGACCAGGCAACATTTTTCCAGTCTTCAACTGTCCAATTTTGGTAAGCTCTTGCAACTTGTAGCCTCTTTTTCCTATTTGTAGTGGAGATGAGTGGTACCCGGTGGAGTCTTCTGCTGTTGTAGCCCATCCGCCTCAAGGTTGTGCGTGTTGTGGCTTCACAAATGCTTTGCTGCATACCTCGGTTGTAACGAGTGGTTATTTCAGTCAAAGTTGCTCTTCTATCAGCTTGAATCAGTCGGCCCATTCTCCTCTGACCTCTAGCATCAACAAGGCATTTTCGTCCACAGGACTGCCGCATACTGGATGTTTTTCCCTTTTCACACCATTCTTTGTAAACCCTAGAAATGGTTGTGCGTGAAAATCCCAGTAACTGAGCAGATTGTGAAATACTCAGACCGGCCCGTCTGGCACCAACAACCATGCCACCCTCAAAATTGCTTAAATCACCTTTCTTTCCCATTCTGACATTCAGTTTGGAGTTCAGGAGATTGTCTTGACCAGGACCACACCCCTAAATGCATTGAAGCAACTGCCATGCTTGGTTGATTAGATAATTGCATTAATGAGAAATTGAACAGGTGTTCCTAATAATCCATTAGGTGAGTGTATATTAAGTTAGCTTGTTGATTGTGATAATCATCGCTGGTTTCTTGTTTATTTTAGTCCACCTATGCTCTATTGTTTAATTTATTTTGTAAATGTTCATTATTTGTAGCTAAATGTTTTTTTCTGACTAAACCAAAAAAAATGTGTTACTCTAATGTTATTATGTCTTGTTATATGAATATGTGTGTATTGGAAGCTTCAATACCAAGGTAAATTCTGTGTGTGTGTATTTTTAAATTGTGTCCGACTTGAGACAGCGCCGACAGCTTTTCCCTATGGCTTTTCCTCGATTGGCTGAATCCACCGCATGACAACGATCACATCCCCTTTAGTTCCACTATCAGCATTTTTATAACAGTAAAATCACTTTTCATGTAGTCATGAGTTATTGTGTCATGTTTATCAAAATAAAACTGATGGGAAAAAAAAGTAGACGCCACTACATTGCTATATAGAAGATCTTGACCAAAAATGTATGCACCTCTTGGTGAAAATGACAGCACAACATTTATTTCCATCAAGAGGTACATATATTTTTGGTCAAGATCTTGTATTGTCAATGCAAGAGTCCAGCACTCTGTAAAGTCTCCTCCTGCACATCCCAAAGACTCTCAGTGAATTTAAGCCTGGACTCTGAGGACCCGATTCATAAGTGGAAAAATGATTCTTCATGATCCTCACAACCCTTCTTTCATAATCTGAGCCTGATGAATCTTGACATTTTCATCCTGGAATATGGCCATGATGTTTCTTCCTACATGGTTGTTTAAGAATGAAAAACACTCAATTAGGGTTAGAAGAACTGTTGCCAAACATATAATATGATAGAAACATAATAATCACTGCAATGATGATCTAATCACTCTTAAGCATTTGCCTATTTATCCTGATAGCAAATCAGCAAAAAAAAAAAAAAAGTATCGTGTTTTTAATACTGCCTCTAACTTCATATTTCTTGCACAATGTTTTGAGCCATCGGTTTGTCAAAAATAGCCTTTGAATGGACACACAGACTTTGACATCAACAATCAAATGACATGGAAAGTGTTTTCTTCGCTCTTTTTTTTTAGCAGGTAAGCTCATTTTTTGTTGTTCTATGCACAGTTATGAAATTTCTGATTTGCATTGATTTGACCCAGAACTTATATGCAACCAATGTTCAGATGAGTCTCCACCCTCCAGTAGAGAAGCGACTTTGACCCTTGACAATCAAGAACAAAGCGTTAAAATGATTTTATTTCAAAACAACAACACCAACAAAAATTCTGAACAACAATATACCCTCAACTTGGACAGATGGGATTTTCAAAGGTTAAGTACATTTATTTATCGACATCATTCAGGAATGAATGTTTTTGTTATGAAGATCTTTTTCATTAAATTCAAAGCGTATTGTAATATTTTGGCTAATATTAAATAGCCAACCAAAAATGAAAATGTCTGTCATCATTTTTTCATGCTTATTGTGGCTTATATTTTGAGTATACATTTAGGGCGGGACTAGGTTTGGTGTATGGGGAATGTTAGCACTCATAAGGGGGGAAAGTTAGCTGTAAAATAGCTAATGAATTATAATGATTTCACTTGACCTAATACTGAACCTAAATAGCAAATCTGCCGGGAATATTTTTCCTTGTTGATGAATATGTTGATGCTTTTGTTTCTTCTGGTATCTCTTTTACAATTTCATAATAAAAGTTAAGCTCTTGATGTTTAGAAACAAAGTGTTAAAGACAATTAATCAGCATGTTAAAACTGCATTTGTATTGTCATTTTGGACAGGCATTGACAAATTTCAGTGTTATTTTGTGTAATAATGACTATATTGAAAGATCCATAATGTTTTAGCAGTATAACTATATGGGTTTGATATACAGCTCTGGAAAAAACATCGAAGAGTTCAGAAATCAATATTTGGTGGAATAACCCCTGATTTCCAGTCACGGCTTAAGTCCTGGCATGTTCTCCACCAGTCGGTCACATTGCTGAGGCACATTTGCTTTATATCACTCCTGGTGAAAAACTTCAAGCAGTTTGTCTCTATTTTTAATGTCTGGTGAAGCTCTTGATCACGTTCCAGAAGTGTTCAGTGGTTCAGGTCTGGAGATTGTGATGGCCATGACAGGGTCTTGATCTGGTGCTCCTCCATCCTCAGCTCCATTGTCCTGGCTGTGTGGATTGGAGCTTTGTCCTGCGGGAAAAACCAAACCTTCCAGTTGGGGAACATTGTCAGAGCCTTACTGAAGAATTAAGGTTATTCCACCGAATATTGAACTCTTCCTAAGTTAAAACATTAGAAATGTGTTGTTTAAAAAATAATATAAACTTGTTTGCTTTGCATTATTAGAGGTCTGCAAAATATGGCATCTTTTTTCCCGTTATTTTGACCTGTTGTCATTTTCTGCAAATAAATGTTCTAAATGACAATATTTTTATTTGAAATTTGGAAGAAATGTTATGTTGTCAGTAGTTTGTAGAATAATAAAAAAAAAAAAAAAGTAATTTGACTCGAACAGATAGGCCTACATAATAATTCCAGAGGAACCGCTAATTTTGCAGTGGTCTCTTAATTTTTTCCAGAGCTGTATTTGATATTATCTCTGGGGCACATTCAAAAGAGAGTCGGATGGAGGTAGCAGCTAAATATTCAGCCGAAATAAGCGACATTAGGTGATTGTACAGTGATTTAAAGAGTTGTTCTTAGGCTTGGCACAAACGCTACTTCCAACAACAATGTTGACATAGCCTAACGTGAGTTTCTATTTCAGCGTTAAATAAGGACTTTTAAGTTGTATTACGTTTTCGCACCGCACACCGGAAGTAGATTCATGCCGAAGAGACGCTTGAGAAAATGTACTCCTGAATAGCTGTCAAGAATAACACTTATAAACATCTACAAGGCAGATAAGGGAACTGTTACTAGATAAGGCTTCGACGAGTTCATTAAGGTATTCTTCTGTGTTTGTGCTTATTTCACCAGTCAGTTATTGTGGTCGTCGAAATGACGGAGAGCTCGCTGGCTGTTTTTATCTCATAGCCGTGCTAACATTAGCTTCGCTTTAGCTTAGCATGAACAAGAGAGCCGTTTCTCCATAGGCTTCGCGAGCTAACTTGAGCCCAGCTTGAGCTCATGCTACAGCTAACATTAGCCTTCACCCGTTTCCCCAGTTCTTGGTGGCGAGAGGTTTGTCGTCACACATTACGAAATATACCGTTGCTGTAATATTAGTAATATTAGTCCTAGCAGCACCTTAATGGACTCGCTGCCATTGGTAATGCATTCATTGTGTTAATTGTATGTACCATCGAGGACACACGCAAGTTAAAGGTTGTTTTCCTTGAGATTCCCGAGCTTTAGCCTGTTTAGCTCGCTGATGCCATTTTGTTTTCAGTCAGCTCTTTATATCTGAACAGAGAGACTCGAAAGATCACAGCCTAACTCACAATATTACGTTTTTTAAGAAGATTATTCTAGTCACCGAGCACGTTCACGTTTTAACCATTTTTATTAGCTACATGTAACATTAAAAAGACACGTAGCCTATAGTAACTGTGTGGCCATATGATGATGATGGTGATGCTATCATATAGTGAAGCCATGGTACTGGATGATTGCTATAATCATTTATTATATAGTCTCATACTTCTTATGTTGGGTTGAATTCAATGGTTGTGTGTGTGTGTGTGTTTTGACTGATTGACACTGTGTTGTAGTTGGATCTGACATCTGGGTCGCAGTGATGGAGGGTCAGGATAATGCAGATCAGGGCAGCAGTGATCAGTCTGAAACACAACGCCGGAGACAGCTGGACCGGCTGGACAGAGAAGAGGCCTTCTACCAGTTTGTCAACAATCTCAGCGAGGAAGACTATAGGCTCATGAGAGACAACAATCTGCTTGGCACGCCTGGTAAATCATTTGTTTTTAAAATGTTTTTTTTTTTTTTTCCTGTGCAAAACAACTACTAATGGCTTCATTGAGACATTTTGGTCATGTGTAATAGCAGTGTCATCCTTGTCAACTCAACCAGAGGTCCCCGGCTCAAACGTTTAATTTTGTTCATATTTTTTTTTTTCTGAAGAAAGATATTAAATGCCATTGCTGAGTAATCCACCATTTTGTAGAGGGGGTCAAAATGGCTATTTTCACCTATAATTTAAAGCCAAATTACAGTGGGGAGATAATGACTTTAGAAAGATGACAGCATCATTATTTTGTTATTACACATAGATTGGTAGGTCTGATAGTCAATTCTTGTCTTTAGCAATGTTGCGTTATATACCAATGGTGACAATTCATAAATGTGGAGATGGATGTTTTTTACAAAGTTGGCCATTACTCAAAGGAATACAAATATCAGTATGGTTTTAGATTCCAGCTCTTAAACTTTTCTTTTGGTGTCTTTATTTTTAAGGCTTTATATGGTTCAATCCCAGAGATACTGGGATCTTAATATGGCTCCATGAGTAAACTGTTAAATTGTACACATTTTCAGTGGTCAAAAACCAAATGTGGGTGACTTTGTATACAGCGGATTCTTTTTTCTTCTAAAGAGGAATGTCGGAAGAACAAATAATGTTGAAAACCGCAAATTTTGAGCACTGAAAATGTGTACAACTTGTGGAGCTACAATGGAATCCCATAATCTCTGGGATTGAACCATATAGAGCCTTAAAAATGAAGACGCCAAAAGAAAAGTGCAGTTGGGTTGTTTTGATTAAGTATTAATAACTCAAAATAAAATACAGGTAACTTACAAAATTAAAGTTCATTGAAAGTTTTAGATATTTAAAACTTGAAAATGACTTTCTCAATTTTTTTCATGCAAAATAATGCAAAAATGATGGTTATTGTCAGCAGATTTAACTAATAGGTAAAAAATAAAATAATTATGCTGCCATAGAGAGCCTAAGTCCCTCCCCTTCCGGTCGACCACCATGGGACCTTATTTAGGAAAAATATTGTATGGTAGTCAATGGCAAGAGACAACAAATATTTTGATCTCGTTTGAATTGTGCCCTGAATTACATATATGATGTTTGTCAATTTAAGAGATACATTTTAAAGTCAAGAAAGTCGCAGTTTGATGTAAAACTGTTGAGGTACAAGACTGAAAATACATAATTACAAAGACTACAAACCCCAAAGGCGCCCATTTTCTCTCTCAATGAATGAAGCTAACTTTACTGAAGCTAACGTCTGTAGTTATTTCTAAAGTCTTACGTTATAATCGTAACGTTACGCCGTCATGCCTGAGTGTTTTGTACCAGACTGCACACACACGAGCAGCGGATCTTGCTTGTTGTTTCGCTTCCCGGGAGATGTAGTTCATTGAGCGATTTTCACATAAAACTAAATGTTACTCTTCTGTTTTATGACAAACTGCGACTTTCTTGACTTTCAGAATTATCTTTTAAATTGACAAACATCATATGTGTAGTTCAGGGCACAGTTCAGACGGAATAAAAAGATGAGTTGTCTCTCGCCATTGACCGCCATACATATTTCTTCCGAAATAAGGTCCCATGAGCCGGAAGCGGAGGGGAGGGACTTAGGCTCTCCATTTCACCCCCTGTAATCTGGCTCCAAATCTCAGGTGAAAATTGTCATTTTGACCCCCCTTTACAAAATAGTGGATTACTCAATAAATATATCCATGGCATTTGATAATTTGGCTTTCATCACTATTTATATGAACAAAATCAAAATGTCAGCCGGGTAAGTTCACTAAATTTGGTTGATTTGACACGGAATGTTTATTGTTTAATTCGAAATAAATTATTTTGGATTTTAAAGTGAACGACATTTAAGCTTTCAGTATTCTTGATGTGGTCTTAACACCTAAACCACATGAAGGACCATATTAGTTGAGTGCAGCAGAAATTGTAGTTCCTGTTGTCTTTCAGTCAGTGGGTTATAGCGCAGCAAATATAAGGTACAGTGGCTTATTAGAGCAAATATACAGACTACATGTTAGAGTAATTGCCACTGACCTTTATTGGTTCGAACTTCATTTCCTCTCAATATTGAAGTGTTACTGAAGTATGAATTGCATCCTCTTTGCCTTAGCCACGCATTTCATTTTACTGAGTAACGATGTGGTTTCCCTGCATCCAGTTTTATATTTATCTCTCTCATGAGACTTGCAGAATTCAGTGGAAGTTAGCATACGCTAGAACTTCATAGATGAATTATTGAGCCTCTGAGGTCACTGACACTTTTTTAGTAACATTCAACGTGGTCGGACAAAACAATTCATTCTCAAATCAAGGTTTGATCAATGAAAATGGTAATTATTTCACTACTTTAATGGTTTTTTGTTGTTGTGAAAGATCAAAGGAGACATTTTACAGAATTTCAGTGCTGGTCTTTACCCTGCTATATAGACCAATTTTCAGTTGGTAAACATGGTGATGTTTTTATGTGGGCGGAGCTTAGGTGGTGGCAGAACGATCCCTCTGGCCGCTTCACTAACGTAAAGTCTGGAATAGGGCTGGGTGATATGGCCCAAAAAAATTATCACAATATTTTTTTTATATCAGTCGATATCGATAATTATCACGATAAATGTCAAATCTTTATTTCTTTCAAGTTTACAGGCAGATTTTTGCTCCTAAGTGAAAGTTGTATAAACCAGAGCGTTAATTGTGGTTTTAACTCTTTATTGCCAGAACATATCATGACAAACACTTGCCAAACAGGTGAACATTTCACAAATCTGAGGTAGAACATTCAAATATTTGTCATTTTTCCTTAACAAAATTAATATCTGAATAGAAAAATATTTCTTCAGCAGTTTGCAGTGCATGCTGCAATATTCAAATTACATGTTTTGTCTCGAAATGCATATTTGACAGTGAGTTGACAGTAAATCTGCATCCTAACTCAAGCTAATACTACTCTGTTAAATTTATGTTCATTAACAAAAACAGTAACATGTTTAATTTGGTAAAATGTAATATTCTGACTGTTTGAGTCTTATTAAAATTAACCATTGGTCATCTAGTATCATGCATTTAGATCATGATAACCACAGATAAAACCAGGCAAAGCCTAACCCAGGGCTCAACATAAAAAAAAATCCCCACTGGCCCCCAGGGCCAGTAGATCAGAGTTTTACTGGCCCCTTCTATATTTTTACTGGCCCTGAAAGAAATAGAATGAAAAGCACTTTTACATTAAACTGTATTTATTGTATACATTAGGATTAATTTTTCTTGTCCCCTCACAATGACAGTAAACTAATTATTACATTACATTACATGAGTGATGAGTTACATAGGCTATATTTTCACTTCAAAATGGCGAAATTAGACAAAAGTATATTAGTTTGCCTGATTATTTTTGTCATACGTTTAACATTTATGACCTAAAAAACTGTCAATGAAGAAAAAATGAAGAACGCGCTGAATCTGATTATAACAAGACTGAAGCGAACACAAATTTGTGTAGCTTACACTTAATCACACATTTTTAGGGCGGCTAGGCAGAAGTTTAGGGGGGAATTTGATTACACTATTTTTAGATAGCCCGTCGGCACTCGGCAGGCCGGTTATGCATTTTGCATCTTGGTCGGCTTTTGTTGTAAATTTCCGGCAAACGAAACAGTACATGCCCTCATCGCCTTTCTCCACCCAGGTGTACTGCGTTTTCCATGACACTAGGAATTAGGACTGGGTGATATGACCAAAAAATCATATCTCGGTATTTTTTGGTTAAAAATCTGTATTTATTTAAAAAAAAATATTTCACATCTTGCTCAATGATATCCAAACAATGTTGATATTGAAGGATATGGAAACTAATATATTGAATATAATGTAGGCCATGCAATATATTACGTGCAAAAAGGTTAAAATCACATTACATTCTAACATTACAATCTAAAAACAAAAATAATGCTTTTGTTTTTAAAATGACTAAGGCTAAACTAAAAATGAAAATAAAAACAAAAGCACAACTAATTATATAGCCTGCATTTGATTACCCCGTTATAATGCTCACTTTCATAAAAACATAGGCCTACTTGTAGGTTTAAAATTCCACATATGGCACATTTATTGTCTCCAACAACAAATATTTTAGCAAGATGTATATTTTAGTCAGAATTATTGCGCTACTCTTCTATTGTGCTCGTCTGTTAGGCGCGCGTGCTCGCGGCAGCGCTCGTTCACGGAAGCTTGAATATTAGCAGAGATTCACTTGCAGAAGCTCGTCCTCTCCTGACAGTGAAATGGACATATTTGTTTGACTTTCTAACATTTACAGATGGAGAATATACCTCTAAAATGTAAGTTAAGCACTGAGGAAAGCACCACGTCTCAAACGCATTAAACAGCGCAAGTATTTATCTGTCAGTCAGCAACAGTATCTGTCAGAGCATCTGACAGGGCAAGCTGCTTTAAACTTGTTAACTATATTACCAGTTATTTTGAAGTGCTTAATATAAGCTTGTGTCATGTTTAGGACAAATTGTACTATGTTTTTCACTGCAGGAGCTCACACTGCGTAGGCTATACTCCGCTATTTTTCAGATGTGCTCGTATCAAACTACTGTATCGATATAAACAGTATTGCCTCATTCCATATCGTTTAAAAAAAATCGATATATTGTACAAACTCGATTTACCGCCCAGCCCTATAGGAATGTCCTCTTTCTCGTATCAGCCTCGTAGTTCTTTGACATTTTAACACGTTATTACCTGAAGTAACATTGACACTCTTCGCGCCACTGTATATGACGTTTGCTGTTTGTTTTGCTGATGGCCATTCACTGGCCCGCGCGGGCCAGTGACTGGCCAATCAACTAGCCCGACATACTCTTTTACTGGCCCCGGGCCATCGGGCCATTGCTTATGTCGAGCCCTGCCCAACCTATAGCACCTCACTATCATGGCAAACTGTAACTT